CCCCCCCCCGCCCCCACCAACAGCGACACGAACTCGCGCGCACGCGCACATCCGCGTCCGCCGGCTGGTACCCGGGAGCGGGGCGACGGAGAGGGGGACTCTAGCCCTCGCGGCCCGAAACTTCGCGGCGGCCGGTCTCGGGGGCAATCCGTCGTCGCGCGCGTACGGGGCAAAACGGTACGGCGCGGTGAACACGACCGATCGGTACCGGCGGTCGCGCGCGTCCACGGGACACACCGATCGCCATGCTGATGATGAACGACCTGGGCCCGATGGCCGCCGGCGTGCTGCCGTTCGACACGATGTGCGGCGGCCTGTACGAGCACCAGCAGCAGCCGCCCAAGCCCCGGTTCGTGTTCAAGATGCCGCGCGTCGTGCCCGACCAGAAGGGCAAGTTCGAGTCCGACGAGCTGTTCAGACGTTTGAGCCGCGAGAGCGACGTGAGTATGCGACGTGCGAGTGCCGAAAAGACGCCCCTACCGCCCTGCACACCGCCCGGACGGAACCGTAACGATCCGAGCACGCGGCGGAACGCAATGCCCAGGGAGGGGGGGACAGCTCTTTAGGCGAGAAAACGTACTTCACCCCCACCCACAACCCTTCCCGCCGCCGTTTAACGTTTAACACCGTAGTGTCGTAGAACCATGCAATTCGCGGATTTTCGGAAAGTTCGTCGATATCCATACAAATCATGTTGTACGTTACCGCATATTTCTGAATTTCTCAAGAACCACGTTTATTCCAGGTAATAATAAAATAATATTTTGTCCGCGACCACTCCGTGATATTCATTACGAACCTTATCGCGCGGTTTTACGGTGTTATACGAAACTGTATTTTTAGTCGATACGTGAGCACGGTCCTCGTTAGGTCAATTCAATGGGTGCTCACTCAATCAATTGCGCTTTTTTCCATAAATTATTTGCCCCGGTAGAACATAGCAACATTGTGTATATTGTATTTATAATGTAAACATATTATGTCAATAAAAAAAAAAGCGTAAAATATCTAAATTCTGAACATCGTTCATGGTTCAACGTTCTGACTTATCGTCAGATTGTTTCTTGCCGAACACAATGTAAACTATATAAACATGACATTTTAGCATATTGTGTTAAGCGTTCCAAGTAACTCTGTTTAGCTTTATGATCGGAGACGTTAAGATATTTGACCTTTTACAGCAATGAGTAATGTTCAAAACGAGTAACAAGAAATGAGTACATGTGTCATATACGCGCATCGCTGTGAATATGTTTCGGCGAATATTGAAAAGTAAAACTTGTTTCTTTCGTAGCTGTACGTGTCTGGTCAAAAACTAAGTTTTCCTCACAACCACGTACTACATTATGTTACCGTATAATATGTACCTACCGTGAGATCAGATGTGTCGATGTCATTTGTTATTTAGAAAATTTAATGCGATGGTTATCTGCAGATAAGTCTTTTATTTTCCATTCTAAACAACATAAAGCTATTTTTTAGTATAATATATAATTTAACTGATATTTGAACATTTGTATTCACCTTATGGCTTTTACCACATAGTTGTTGACCTTTAACACTTAAATATAGAACATAATAATATCTATAGGCTAGGTTAACAATGTGTTGTTCACACAATAACTTTAAGAATTTTCAGACTATTGATCATGTTACACATGACACTTAAATATCTATATTTTTTCGGTTTCTTTTTTATTGTTATCTGTCATTAGTTGATCTTATACTATATACTTACTTCATTGTGAGGTTCAATTTTATTGATGTATACTAAAAAAATATCATGGACTTTTAATTACAAAATTACCTATTGTACAATACTGTTATTATCATAGAAAAAAAAGATTTCAAATTAATGAAAAGTGTAAAGAATTTATTTATACTTACGCTTATAAATAGAAGACTTTGCACAATTTATTTAGTAGTGGTTTTTAAAAGTATTAATGTAACCATGTTTATCTTTATGATAATCGAATTATGGATTATGATAAATTAATAAATATTAATAAAAGCATATTTTATTATATATACACATATATTTATTTGTAAAAAAAAATTAATTATTCGTACATAACAGTAATATTAAATCACAAAAGCAAAATAATTATTTGTTTTAATTTCCAGAATATATTATTATTATTTTTACATATGGATTATACAATCACCACTAATAGGCGTAAATAAATATATTATAATATCATTAGTATAATGCTTATGTATATATATTTGTGAATACTATTAATTGTAAAGTACACCAAATGTTTAGATCGATCTTAAGATACCTTAAAAGTGTGAAGGATTCTAGAAATAAGATGTTCTATAATTTCACTTTTTATGGGAACACTTTTAAAAGGCAAATACGTTAAATCTTAGACTGTATATAAAGCATAAGTTCTTAACCCGGGGCCCGTAGATGGTTACTCGGAAGTTCACGGGGTGGCTGTGATGTTTGATTTCATTCGCTACTACCTATCTCTGTGAGCTTGGATTTTCTACAATGGTAACAATAAAAACTAAAACAAAAAATCGAATGGACATTAAGGACGATATGCGCGTTGCTCTGTTCGATACGGTCCTAGATTTCAAGGCAATATTGTAATCAAAACAACAGTAAATGTCACATTAAAACTTGTTTTTAAATAAAAAAAAAAGTGATTATTTACAATAATTTAATATAGTATTAAGTCTTAGATTTATCATTAAAAAATAACTAAAATAAAATTTGTATTTATTTATTTATGTATATGTATTTTTTTTTAATGAGGGGGATCCGTGATTATATTTTATGCTCTAAAGGGGTCCATGACCGTGAAAAGGTTAAGAATCTATGATATAAAGGATTTAATGTGTTATTAAGAATAAACATTATACAATATTGTGCATATAAATAGCCTAATCCTATTTAAAATGGTCGTAGAAATATTTTCAGAAGTTCTGTACACGTATATAATACTTGAAAAAGGTCATTTTTACTGTTAAATTTGGTTTTACAGCGATTTCAACATGTAATCTGTTTCGTTTGTGTTCAACTGGTGCAGGTCTTTTAAACGATTTTCGAGGATCTCGAAATAGCACCCCGCTGATTTGGTGTGGTGGGTATTAAGACTATTATTTATCACGTCATGGTATGAATTGCGTTTAAAGCATTGAATTTTGAAAATGATAAAGAAAAAACATTCAGTAATAATAATGGTCAAAGGTTTTACGGGTATTATATTGTATCATCGTAGGAATTTGGGACGAGTATTTTTTATTATTATTACATGTGTAGGGTTGCATTGTGATTATTATTATTACTATTACAGGGTAGGGTATATAGTATAATATGCATACACGTTAAACATGAATACGAGTAAATGTAGTGGACACAACTGGAGAGTATAATAATTGTATTTCTTAACGTGTGACAAGTTTATGTGAGGTTTGAATATTTTTTTTATTCGACTTCTCTGAAATCCGATTAATAATTCAAGTATTGTAATTATTATTTATGAATAAATCACATAGTTCACACTGAAATGTTTAATCTATTATCGTAAATGTGACCATGGACTCAATATTTTTGATACAATTATTGAAGAGATTGGAACACTAGAATATGTCTTTTAATACCTTTGACTTAATAGGCGATTTTTTTTTTTTTTTTTTTTTTGATAAGGTAATCGCAATTGATTTTCTAGCACTGGCGTTTTTAATCGATAGTTACAATTTTAACGATTAATTGTATAATACATCTCATTACATTAAGTTATTTAAAAAATCAGATACTGAAATATACTGATATTTGTATATGTCTACAATAGGTACGTGTTAATATGAATAACTTAATCTAAGTAAATGTATTGTACATACAAAGTTAAAACTGTAATATATTATCATAAATTCTATATAATAATAAATTATGTTCACGATGAAATAAAAAATATTCTGATATTGCCAATTATGCGAATTGGTTTTTGTTTTTTATTTCAGAGATAATCCAACTAATAATTTAATATTTTTCGTTACAATAAATTTATAATTATATTCTAGCTAAACAAGAATATTTACTATACTTAGTTGTATGAATTTTGTGTGAATACTTGCATTGGAAAAATCTATGTCCGTATAATTTAATAAATATGTCAAGATTTTAAATATTTCTCTGCAAATCATTATGTCAACCGACTTGTTTTTCAAAAAATTTTATCATTTTTAAATTCTGGTCAAGGCTGATATTTGACATTATAAATGTGAATCGAGTTCAAGTGTTTAAATATTTGTGGACAGTTTGATTTGGTCAAAATATATATTTTATTATTATTTATTAACACAAAAGAGAAAACATAAAATATTAGATTGTGCATGAATGATGAATCATAAACATTTCCTGACCTTACCTACTAATACTTGTTTTATCTTCAGCTATATGTATAAAACAGGTTTTATGTTATTTGTGACTAATTAGAACAGTAATGGGTATGAAATCTAACGTTTTAATTTATAGTAAATTATTACTCTTTACATATAGTCGAAAACAAACTTTTAAACATTATTTTAAATGTTATAACATTTTCATACAATTAACTACCAATACTATATGTACTCGTATATATCAGAAAAATAAAATGCAGAATACGTATACATACCTGTAATTTCTTTTAGTTGATACAGTTATTTATTTTTTATAAATGTAGAATTGTAAATTTCATATTTTAAAAGTAAATATTGCAATCCACATACGTTTTATTATGTGTGTACAATATGTATACCACGATTTTTTTTTCTACAAATATTTATATATACTGAGATGTTATAAATATATATATATATACATATATACGAGTAAATTTATATATATATATATATTGAGATAAAAATAATGAGTTTCGTTTGTGGTTTTTAGATACGATATACCGGTTATAGAGACAGACCACATGAAGAACGTCAAAGTAGATTCCAAATTGGCTGCCGCGAAGGTCACGTAGATATCGTAAGTTACTTTGAATAAATCCTTAATTACATATTCCAATCGATAGGAATTCGATAAAAGATTATACGACCTTTGCAAGTTGTGTTATAATGTATTACGAAGAAAAATGAATCTAATGTGTTGCGTATAGAAAAACTTTTAACCCGTTAAGGATAAATTTAAATATAAATTCATATTTTAGGCGTTTACTTCAACTGGAACCAATTTGCAATTGATGTTTACTCCTAACCTGCCGATTGCTTCATATCACCAACCTGCCAATGGTACATGTGATTTCGAAAAAGAGCGTGGGATGGTGAGTTCAATTTTTTTAATATTGCTGTAAAAATCTTTATATAAACATATACGAGTATATGAGAACAGTATGATGTGAAATTTTTTTTATCTATAAACTAAATGGTAATAAATTAGGACACTAGTTGTAGGATATTGTGGTCAAAACTAGGTCAATCTGAATGATTACTAATAGTTTTATCTAGGTTGGCAAAATATTTTGGCTATGTGGGAAAAATACAACGGATTCGTTAATCAATTATTCCCACGTTTCGTTATCTAACATGTGAAATATACAATGTAGGAGTTGGTATATTATGCTATAGCAAACAAATTTTAAAGATGTTGTAGTGTTCAAATAAGTTTCTGAAAATTATCTCGTGCATTTAAAAATGTATCAGTACAGATGTACTCGTAAATATATTAATATAACTTATTATATATCCTGTTAGAATAAAAAACGAAAAATTATTGTTTAAGAATATTTCATTTTTATATATACGTATTTATACATACAGTTCTAATATTTTTTTAATAAGTCTTTAATAAAATGTCTGGAAAATGCTAGTGTAATTCCAAGCACCACAGCTCCAAGACCAAGTATTAAAGAATTATTATGCTCCTCGTAATAATTCTTTACAGTTTCCACAATTGTTTTGTTCGGTTTGTTGCTGTCTGGATTTTCACTCTCAGCTGTTGGATTATTCATTATTACACTTGTTATGAACACTAAATTAATATTAAATTAAGTAAAATAGTCGTAGAATTTTACTACTTAATAATTTGAACTATAAATTGATGGTGTGGTAAGAATAGACACAAGTAACAACAGTAGATACATATTGATTGTTTATATATTATTTAGTTGCTTCACATTTGTTTTTTTATATCAAAGTAGCCAGATGCATTAATAGTTAAAATTTAAAATGGTTGATACGATACAACATAAATATACGATCGATTATAATAAGTTAATTTCGGTTGGAAAAAATATTACTCAATATTTGAGTATTAATATACATATTTTTTTTAATTTTTTCTTATAATTTTTACAATATGAAACAATTTATAAGCGTAAAATTGATATTTTTTTTTATTATATAGCATGATTGACTTAGTTTAAAAATAGGGTGGCTAGATTAAATTAAAATAAACCTGTCATAATAAATTTCAACCTGATCTATCCGTCTTAATCAGTGGTATAGCCAGAAAAATATTTTGAGGAGTAGGACTTATATTTTTCAATCCTCTTCAGCATAAGTACCAATTGTTCTATGATAATAAATCGATTAAATATAAGTTAAAATATAAAATTTATTATTATTAGCTCATTGAAACTGTGAAAATTGTTTAATGATGACATGATATGATATTATATCTATGCCTTAAAATTATTGTATATTTTACAAAATAAGAAAGACATTTCGAGGGTGGGATTACAATCCGTTAATTTCCCCTCGACCAGTGGCGCATTTAATACACACGCGCCCCGGAGCAAAATAATTTTTCCGCCCTTCCTCCTTACCAAAAAAAAAAAAAAAAATTAATTTTTTTATATATATATAAATAAATTCAGTTAAGCAATAAAAAAATTTGTTTTTATCAGTTGTTTTGCGATATTGTATTAGATAATTTTGTAGTAATACCATTGATTTTATAATATATACATTTTATATTATAAAATCATTGGTAATACATATCCTACCGTTAACCTAATTTTTTTTTTTCAAAGTGAATTTCCTTTCTTAATATATATTAAATATAGAAAACGGAGTTTATACTGATTATATGCACAATGATTAACAATACATGGTTTTTTATTAGATTAAATATATTATATTTATTATTAATTATATAAAATAATCAATAGCTTATAATTTTTTTCTTGACTTTTAAGAAGAAAAATGTTCAATAATATCATTAAAATTAATAGTTATCGTTAAATTAGCTTAAATGTTAAGGGTTGTTAATTAATTAAGACGATTTTCTCTCGTTGTTGATCTTAAATAAGTTTTGACCCTTTTTAATGTAGAAAATGATTTTTCCATTGAACAATTACTTGAAGGTGTAAATACACAGTAGCATCCTTAGAGCAGTATCAATATAAGGATATACTTCAACTAAACTATTCTCTTTTATAAATGCTAACATACATTGAACACTTTTAGGTACAATTTTACTCCTTTTGTAAACCTTTTAAATGTGCACTAAAGTGAATACCGCGTTCTGTGTCTCTTTCGTTGTCCCTTTCGCCCCCCTTAAATGCGCCACTGCCTTTGACACACCACTGGTCCTAACCATAACTTAATATTTTTATCTTACCATTTTTTCTCCTGGGTTTCATATAAAATATTAAGAATTCAATTTTAAAATTAAAAAATTAACTTTTATTTTCAACAAAAACTAATTTTAAAATGTTTAATTTAGTTTACAAATTATTATACTTCATAGTGACATAGAGCTATCATTTTTAAACTCTTTCTTCATACATATTTTGTGTGGAATAGACGTTCTTCAGAAACGGGTGATTTTTTATAAATTCGTTATGAAATTCCATACAACTTAAATTATATGTTTTTGTTACGAAATAACTTTTTACAATTCCCACATCTATTTTTTTACGAATGTCGGTCCAAGTGGAGGTCATCAGTGAAAACACTAGTTCTATATCGTTTAAACCCAGCAAACAGAATGTAAATCCAATAACTGATGCAAAATTTCAAATATCCACCTATTTTTCTTTGAATACTTTAAATATTCGTAACAATTTACGTTCCAATGAAGTAACATTTTTGTCAATTTATTGAATTTTTTTTGGAAAACATTTTAAAATGCCATAAATTCATCAAATTAATCATTTTCGTTAACAACAACTCGCGAGTTCTGAAGTAAATACTATAAATCATAAAATTATTTAATTTTTTCATGGTATTATTGTATGTTAAGGTATGTTTTTTTTTTTTTATATATATAACTAATTTAATTCTGCCAATAGTATCTAGATTAGGTATTGTCCACTTTTGTACGCATTGTACATCAGTGTTACTGCAAATGTTACTACCAGTCGCCATCTCTGCAGTGTAAGTGGGCATATTTTTGTGTGATAATTTATTACTATCAAGAAAACATGTTTTAATTAGAATCATTTAAAAAAATATAAAAATTATAAATAAATCGCCAAATTAAAAGTTAAATTCCGGGAAATTATTATGTTGATGACTAAATCTGGTTATAAATCTAAAAACACTTTTTTCGGGACACCGAGTCATGAGATCCGGAAAATTCGGGACGGATGGCCATCCTAGTTTAAAAGTTACCCAGTGATAATACCAAACATCTAGAAAATTTAGTTGTTATTATTTTTTTTTTAAATACATACACATTTGATATTATTAATTTTAAATTTTTAATACAGTTTTCCAAATTTTCTTTGTTCGTCACTATTACCAGTTTAAGACTCTTTGATTCTTCGAAGTTTATATCAGTCTCGTTCGCAGAAATCATTTTTAAATACTTCATTAAAACTTTTATAATTATAGTTCCTTACTAGGTACACAAGTATTTTGTATTAAGCAACAATATGTTAACTTGTTTTGTAGACTTTTGCGTTCAACATACATAATGCGTCTTTATTTATGCTTTTCGGCGGATTAATAATACGTGTCTAATAACATAATGTGGTGGTTCACGAACAATCGAAATCATTACAAAAAGTGCAGTCACATAATTTGACCACCGCTGTCCATTTACAACAATAAGATGTGTATCGAACCGAATGAAAAAAATCATTTAATTTAATATCGATCAAGTCGAACGCTTTTTCACGGTTTCCGAAAGGACCCGCAGTGTTCCTTTGGATTTTGGCTTCCGGTCGATCGCGTTCCGCGCGCACGTGGGTAGTGTTATCGTTTACGCCAATATTACAACAACTATGTAACGCCGATACGTGTACAGGTGCATAAATCCCTGTCCTACGTGTATGTAAAATCGCTTACAAACATAATACTTACACACACACACACAGAATATGTACAGAAACACCTTAAGCGTTAAACGTATTTCATTCACACGATATCAACTGCACGTATCGTATAACTAAATTACGATGACACTGCAGCGGCCGACGACGGCTGTTGTGCACGTCCTTTCAACATTTACTACGGCGTCGATTAATCAGTGTTTTCGCAGTGTATACGGCCCACGTTTTAGATTGTCAAAACGTTCTTTACGCTCCGATGGCTTCGATCGCGAACACGGCAATATTTCGGCTGCGCGTCTCTTTCAATACCCATATATCAATGGAACACAAAAACTCAAGCGCACTCGCACGGCTATCCGATGTACTTTTATGAGTATACGTAATGTATTATTGTTATTGTTACGTGTTGTATATTCCGTCGGTAATAACAACAATATGAACGCGGCGACAAAGCGGGGGAGGGGCAGTGTTTACGCGACGAAAATGTTGCAGCAGGAAGAGGAGGGTGTGGATTTTCACGTAGATCACGATTTCGTATTGTACGTAGGTATACACTCATATATACGTATATCCAGGGGAGTGCGAATGAAGGGGGAGACGAAAAAAAAAAAAGAAAAAAGAAATCCTTTTAAAATAATAATATAATGCTCGTAATATTCGGCGAAGATAGATGTAGAGCCCGGAGAGGGACGCGTTCTCTCTTTTTTTTTCCTCCGGGATATATATTATCATTGTCACACTCACGCACACATGCGTACACGTGTACGCGCAAACATGAACGCACATGTAACATCTCACTCGGCCGAAGGGTTTGTATAGAGAGACGCCGACGACATATTATCATTATTATTATTATTATTATTATATACGTATGTGTGTATAGGGGGAAACGGAAATCAATAGCGAAATGAGAAAAAAGGGCGCAAAGGGTGCCGTCTCCGCCATTTTGTTCCGGGCGCGCACCAGATGCGACGGCCATTGTAACCGATTCGCCGCCGGTTTAAATTTAAAAAAAAAAAACAGTATAAGCATAAAAATTCTAT